TATTCTTTCGTTGTTTTGTAATATGTTCTACTTATTCATTTTATACTACTTTAAGGTCCTACTACTGTAATGTCTCAAGGCATGAAGAATATAATAGAAGCTATGAAAGTACATAATGTTGAATTGGTGTCTGTATGCTTATCAGGTATTGTAACGTTGTAAAAACAAAAATACTAAATACCTGCCAAAACTATCAATTATTATAAGACTTATTTTTTATTGCACTAGACTGCACTAAAACTTTCTATCTCGCTTTTGCCATACTTTTAAATATCTCTCATTTTAAATACGAATGTACTAGTTCAATCACAAAGAACAGACATAATATAGAAATATATTATTGTGTATAATTTTGCTAATGAAGAAAATATTCTTTTGACATTTCTAATATTTGGACTTTCTTGTTATTTGGGACTTCTTTAAATATTCAACTTTATTGTATATGCAATACTCTTTTCTAATGTTCATTGCTTAAACTTTCAGCATTTTTATTCCTCAAACTTGAAGCAGTGCCTGCTATATTTAAAGGCGTAACTGAAGATCATCAGCGCATGTTCGACCTGATCAAATCGAGCGGTTTAAAATGGGTGGCGATATTGCCACCGCACATTGCAGGTATTCCTACATAATGAAAGATGAAGCATAATAATCTTGAGAAATCTCACTTGAGATATTTGTTTTTCTCTTCAGAGACACCGAAGTCCAAATACACTGTCACATTCGATTCTTCACCTGGACGAGTAATCTCCAAATATGACTTGGGTGCGTTTCTTGTCGAATGTCTTGAGAATCCTGATTATTATCAAAAGATCTGTGGCATTGCGACCGTATCATGATGCGAGAAATGGTAGGGATGTAAAAATAATAAGATGCATGTATTTTTTTCTAGTGGAAAAATAAATATATATATTTATGTAAATCGTTATCACGTTTGATGAGTTATGCAACTGGCTCGAATTGTACGTGTTGGATGGAAAAAGATCATGTTTTATCGCTAGAATACAACGAACAAAGAAGGAATATTTACAATAGAGATGTAATCTAGGCGAGAAAAATGGCGCTAAAAAACAATGAATCTGCTTGTCGATCCTTCATATGTAAATTAGAATTACAAAGTTAGAAAAATAAGTCTATGGCACTCTACTTTACAGCTTATAATAAGAACAGAAGCTTTATTCTCGAAAAATATCGCATACGATAATATTATAGTATACGTTATATATTATAGATTTTCGTATATAGATTCAAGAATATAGGCCTAAAATTTGTATCTAATACTTCGAGCTGAAAAGACAAATGCATATTTATTCGCGAATGATTTCAAACGAATGATTTCATGTTTCAAAAAATTATTTACACAATATATTTACATAACTAATGAATATGATTTCCTAAATAGAACGGTCCAAGTTCTTCGTTAAGTTGCAATGTGTTAAATTGTCTATTCTCTCATTTTATTCTATTTAAATCAAATTGAATTCGTTTTTCTGTATCTAATTTTAATTGTGAAAGCTCTCGTTTTCAGTGCGAGTGGAGCATACTCTGAAATTTTAATATTGTATAATGCCAGTATCATAATTTCTTGACCATGTGTGTTTTTTGAGACAGCATTCGCATGTCGAAAAATTTTGACAATTGAAACGCCGGCATCGGGGGTGGCGGAGGTGGCGGTGGTAATTGTCCGGCGGACTGATCACCATTTCGCTCCTTGAATCTGGTCCTACCGAGGGGTGGACTGGCAGTTATGATATCATTAATGCCATACGCTTTAAATGGATCGCACACCTTATATCCGTTCTTATAGTAAAACACCTCCTGACCATCCGTCTTTAGGTAGATGTTCTTCAGGCCTCTTTTTGCGACATACTCCTCCACGCCACGCAACAGTCTAGACCCTAATCCTTTAGATCTACATCGATAATCGATTACAACTGAAATATTGCAGATATGTAGTATTATTATGATTTATCTTTTTTGACTTATTAACATATGCTTTAAATTATTCTACTTGTTAATTTTATTGATGTATGTGCATTAAAATAAATTACTACTGTTTCTTACCAGACTCTATGAAACAGCTAATTTTCGATCTAGCCACCAGAGATATTTTGCAATGCCCGAGAACCTTGTTCTCGCCATTAATTAGAACTAGACATGTGGGAAAATCGTCACAAGACACACTTAGAGATTTCATTCTGCAATATAACGATATGAAAATCAGTTTTGTCGATGTATCTTTATTATTTTCATAGGTAATCTTTGAAACCAAGGAGAAAAATAACACACCGTGCAGTTTCACTTCGAGGCCATTCAGAATTAAGCAACTTACAACAGTCTTTAATCAAGTCAGGCCGATGATGAAGAGGTATCACTATGTACTTAACATCGCTTTCCGTCATATCTTGCCTGCAAAATTGGATATTGTTACATACTCCAAAGTCGGATCAATTAAGTTGTTGAATTTGTAAAAAATATTGAAAAATGTCTTTAAATATATATTGCTATTTATAAAGTTATACACACACACACACACACATACACACACAACTATATATTTTTCTAATGGTAATAGTATATATTACAATTACTGGTGTAATGTATATTTTTAAATATTACTATTTTTTCATGTATATAATTATCCTAAATCTCTTTGTATTCAAGTGTAAATCTTATTTAAACTCTATTTCATTTAATTATCAGTATGATCATATTTTCTACTTCTAGTTTTTTATTATTATATAGAAGTAAATATATCTCTTTTTAGATTACTTGTTATTACTTTTATTAATTGCTATTGTGTGCAAAATCTCATAAACTCTAGTATATATTTATTACTTGATTCTCCTCAATCACATCTCGTTTGACACACATATACCCACCTGTCATATCTAAAAATACACTCTAATACGAAAATGAACTACACGAGCTTGCGATACAGCAATGAAATAACAACTTATGATTCTACATATATAGTGCATATATTTTCCTTTTTTTTT